TTGTGGCTTAAATAGTCAAATATGTGATTGGCCGTGAGATAGGTGCGAACGTTTGTTAAAGCAAACGAACCCCAGTTTTCATATTGGCCTTAGACGATTATATTAAATGACTGGAAATTTAAATTGCAGTTTGACAATGACAATCATTTCTTAGAAATGTGCAACAATTACTTCTTGTATTTTTCATTAGATTGTTATTTTATCTATTCCATCTACCAGATCGATTTCCCAATCTATGTGTTTCTGCTCTTAATTAAGTACAAGCAATTCTATATTTTTTAATCCCAATATCTTCCAAATTTGAATGATAGAAAACATTAGCAAACATTCTGTTGAAATAGATCTTGACAAAATTTCCAAAACTGGATTTTAAAGTTTGAACAAAGTTATGTTTTTTTTTAATAAAAAAATAATAGAAAGTAGCTTGTATTATCAATGCCAGAATTTTTCATACGCATCAGTGGGAGATAGGAACATTACACCCCCAGGTCCAAATTTTGTGTCACAAACAAGGCTGTGACGAGTTATATTCTGAAGCATGATGAAGGAGTTTTTTCTCATTTGTTTGGACGAAAATTAGGGTTGAAGTAAAACTGGCACATTGTGAATATAAATTTTACTTCTTAGCAACAAACGTAAATTGAAAATTTCTTTAACTTAATATAGAGCCTAAAAAGTTAATTTACACTTCAGAGGTCACTATAAACATGTTTGAACACATTCTAGCTTGCAAAGAACAGTCGTGGAAACGGCCGACTTAATTGGTAATACACAACGTCCGAATTGCGCACTGCAATGATATAAATGTGAAAAGGTATTACAAATGAAGTCCAATTTCAGCCATTAGATTTATCGAGACAGACAAAAAAATTAATATTCCTCGATTCAGCCTTGATTCAAAATCGATTTATTTCTCAGAAATAATAATGACAATAAAACTTTTTAAAAAATAACCTTTGCAAAAACGGCTTTTTTCATCCTGAAATGGCACTAAAGACGTCACAAATGCATTGCTCACTTTTGTAAATGTTCTGCAATTAACGTTTTGTCTTGATTATCGTGAAAAATGTTCAAGTGGTGACGGAAATCAGGAAGTGTTTGTTACTCTGCTATATGCAGGCAATATATGTTAAGTAAGGTCCACGATTCTGGATAAGAGTCACGTGTGAGGTAGGTTAGAGTTATTTTGCATCAGTGATCAACAGCTAAACACATAGGAAAGTGATAAAAAAATCTAACAAGGGAAGCCCAGTTTTGCTTTCCTGGTAAAACACTAAAATCATTTAAAATCATATCGTACACAAACTTGATCTATTTTCTTCTATTTTGAGGAGAAATGTTTACCCAGTTATAATTTTTATATAATATCTTAAAGTAATGTAAGACAATCTACCAGCTTTGCCACATACAAAATCATTTTGCGTACATTGTCTTAGGCCAAGTAATTTCTAAATTAACCCTGATGGCCTCCTGTCAATAGAGTTTGTTTTATGCAAATACCCACTCTACTGCTTCTTAATATAAAGACGAGTTACAGTTATGTTGAATAAATCCAAATATTTAATTTATAAATATATTTATTTAACTCATTGGATGCATTCTGAGCCTGACCGTGGATTGTCTTTGAAGCTTCTGAAAAAGAGATATCATATATCAAAACAATACGTATACAAGACTATTTTGGGACCGAGACGGGAAGGGGACCTTCCTATCAAATAAATAAAATTCCAATGTATTCTGCCAACGTTTCTGCATATCATTGTTTTTGTTGTTTCTGATTTATTTAATTATGATTTCGATATATCACGACAGAATTTTGAAGGTGTCAAATCCTTTTTTGCATATCAGAAATTATGCAACATCATCAGCATAATTGAATCAAACCAATGTTATCACATAACTTTATATCGCCTCAACACCGTTGGGGTGGAATGTAGGTAATTCATATACAGTGTAAATAAAAATGGAGACAGTCTCCTTTGACGTATACCTCAACTGAGCGATTAACGAGTCTGTTGCTTAGACCTTATATTTGTATACGTATCTTGAATAACTTTTAACATTTTGCAGCCAGTATACACTCTGATGAATTTACACCATATGTTATCTCATACAGCATAATCAAAACCCTTTGTAATGCAAATAAATCTACAATATCGCTTTTACCGCTATTTCTTATATGAGCAATTAAACCAAGCAGAATGAATATGCTATCACTAATCCACATTTTCTTCCTAAACCCTAACCGGATTTCATTACAAATGCAATTCATCACTTTAACATTAAACATACTTGTGACACGTTTTCCAAGACATCTCAGTGGGAAATACCTCTCTAATGTTTTTTTTTTATTTATCAATAATATATGGGAATGATATATCCACTAGATCGTATGTTGGGAAGATAGCCCTTATTGAAAATAGTCGAAGGAAACAGTGTTTAACCGCCGCGACTCAAACATTTATTTAAAATCATACCTGGTTGATCAATTTTTGCACTCTTTAAATTGTGTATTCCTTTTGCAGCTCGATCATGAGATATATCATTATTTATTTCACCAAATATGATTTGGAATTAACACCTCACAAAGGTTTCGTTGAAAGCAAAATCAAAAATCGTCTGAAGGGTTCTTAATAGTATGGAAATACTAAGAAAAGGATGGCGGTGAAATATGATTTCCTTAGGACAAGATTTCTCTTTTAATTAAAATATAATCTATATTCTTTAGCATTTCAGAGTTTTTCTTACTACATTTCTAATCTACATTTCCCTGCAGTCCTTTTGTATTGTGGCGATCATCTTTTCTAATCCATTAAAACTTGATTTTCTGTGCATGTTAAGATTAGATAAGAATTGTTTCGTTTAGTTTTGATTTCTATAAATTCTCGCATTTGATATATGATATCAGGTTGGACACTGACATTAGTATACCAACAATAGGACGTTTCTGATACAATAGAATACATTAATAACGTATAAAAATCCCAGTAAATTGATTTTTGTACCTAATTAAAATATGTATATGTACAATTAGGACTTAAATATCAATATGTCCTAACTGTTGTTATTAGATTAAGGCAACCTCATGTACTCATCTTTAAACATGTTGTTCTAAATAATAATAGTTTAATTTACTTTGAATGCATGATTTTCATTAGTTTTTCTTTTCTTTTTAAACTCTGAACAGGCAAACAATTTAAAAAGGTAGATAATGACCTGATAAAATGTTCAGATACTCAAAAAGAAACATATTGCTTGAATAATCAACTACGAAAGCATTTACATACTTAAGATAGTCTACTAGAAAAAGAATCATTAAATATAGAAAATATGATTCGATTAAATGAATACTTTCCCACACCATTATCTGCAATAACTCTGCCATTAAAACTGTTAAACCCATTTTGTTCTCAGATATTGAAGAGCACATGGCTATTTAAATTAGACGGATGTACGTCCTGTAAAGAACGTACAAAAATTGCATTAGACACATAATCGGAGTAGACAATTAAATGTGTTGATATATAGTAAGCTATAAAACCAGGTTCAACCCACGTATTCATATCTCTTCAGATTATGAACTCACACGTATTATTTATTTTTCGAATTTAATTATATCACCTAGTATTTTGCATTTTAAAAAACAGCCCACGTGAATTTGTCGTTCTCTTAAAAAATAAAGTATTTGCTTATGAGAGAGAGAGAGAGAGAGAGAGAGAGAGAGAGAGAGAGAGAGAGAGAGAGAGAGAGAGAGAGAGAGAGAGAGAGAGAGAGAGAGAGAGAGAGAGAGAGAGAGAGAGAGAGAGAGAGAGATGTGGAAGCAGAGTGTTGGTTGCCCATGATCTTAGCCAATGCATGATCTGCAACGAGGCGTATAACATGAAGCTGGACAAGAGGTATCATCGAGTTCATGTGGGCTAGTTTTTATTCATTTATGCATTCTTGATATTTATAAGATTTTGGAAGTGTTAATTATATAAGAAAAGTTACTTTCACACTCTGCAAACTTTTCGTCTGTGGACATAAGCGATATAACCCCAGAATAATAGTGTCAATGGCAATTTACATGCTGTGCTGCACCTATTTTAATATTTGTTTTGTGTGTGTGTGTGTGTGTGTGTGTGTGTGAGTGTGTGTGTATGTGTGTATGTGAGAGAGCGTTTGTTTTTGTTATTATTCTTTTTTATTTTGTTTTTGTTTTTGTTTTTTTTTTACTGCTTTTTTGTAATACAATATTGGCCACGTCAATCCGAGGAAATGGAAGCTAAATGGACACGTTAAAACAGCTAACTCAGGCAGTCCAGGTGCCTTGCTATTCATTACGTAAACCAATAAAGCGTTATATTATAGCTTTGATAGATAACGTTTTTCTTATCACTAATGAACATTATTTCACATTCTTTCCTATTGGAAAAACATTAACCACAGGAAACTGACCCCTGTGTTGCTAATCTTGCGTAAAAGCTGTTGTTCCGGATACTATCTTGATTAAAAAGTATATATATATATATATATATATATATATATATATATATATATATATATATATATATATATATATATATATATATATATATATATATATAGTTATTGCCTTCGTGATTCTGTCGGAATGGGATTTTACATTGAGTTGAGTTTTAAACACGTTTTATTGATTGAAAATGACAATATCGTTTGACAACAAGTTTTACCAACTTTTGTTGATTAATTGCTTTACTGATATAAAATAGAAAACAATACAATAACTGTACACTGATTCATGTGATGTGATTATGATTTTTAACGAAGCTTTAACAATGTCTCAGTCGTATCGCTACGATGTCTGCATTGTGGCAGTTTATAGTGATGTCTAGCACTGAGGCATCATGCTGCAGACATGTATCATGATGTCCCACCCAGTCATATTAACCTGGCACCAGGCTGACCAGTCCTAACACTAGTCTCTTAATGCTGAGCGTCAAGCGAGGCAGCTGTTAGTACCATTTTATACGTCTTTGGTAAGACTCGACCGGGAATCGAACTCAAGACCTCCCGCATCCGATGCGAACGCTCTAACCACTAGGCCTTCGATTAATGCGAAATAACACTGCATAATCCTAGGTTCATTATCGAATGACATGTCTAATAACATTTATAGGATGACACTAAAATGTTGGACTAGCAATTCAATGACATGCCCAATTCGTGGATAATATTAGCACAGTTCAATAGAGTACTGGCATCAGAACTTAGAAATCCACCCACCTCTTCGGAAAAAACCTCACATCATTATTGACAAGAATTTGTCAAGCGGGTTTCTAGGCTTTTCGATCTACTCTTGAAACATGTAAAACTATTTTTAAGACCTGTCAAGTGACTCTCAATACCTGTCAAACCAAATGATTCTAGAGACATGTAAAGTGACTGTCGAGAGTTGTCAGGTCAAGCTACTCCCGTGGCCTATCAAACGACTCTAGAGACCTGTCAAGTCAAATGATCCAAGAGACATGTAAAGCGACTGTCGAAAGTTGTCAGGTCAAGCTACTCCCGTGATCTGTCAAGCGACTCTAGAGACCTGTCAAGTCAAATGATTCAAGAGACAAGTAAAACGACTGTCCAGAGTTGTCAGATCAAGCTACTCCTGTGATCTGTAAAGCGACTCTGGAGACTGTCTAGATTGCTAAGTTAAGCTACTCAAACCATATTTAAAAAGAAAATATACACTCAAGATAATAATTAATGAATCTATCAGGCTACCAAGAAAGTGTCAACTTTCATATACTCTCAGACATTACCACTTTAAAATAAATATTAAAAATTTTTCTCCTGTTTTGTCTTTCTAGTTTTCGGATGCTGCTTCTTTTAACTTTTGGAATTCATTCTTTGAATGACTGCCATTTGTTTAGTTTAACCTGAAATTTTGCTCAAATTTATGAATTATATTAAAAAAAATTCTGAAATGTACTATTACCGTGAGGTGGGATTTGTTTTCAGTCAACGGAGTTTATGGACATTTCAAAAGTCTGGAACATTTCTCTAAAAATACATCTTTCAAGACATGACTTTTATTTTATTTGTATACGTTGTCTTTATGTCTGATTACAATTTTGCACACATTTCAATGATGCTGACACAATTTCTCACGATGACAAGATGTCTATTTATTTCCAAATTAAGTTCATCATATTTAATACTTATATAGCTCGTGAAACCAATTGTATCAATGTTATATTGACCTTGAATCCCTACCAGAGCAAAAATATCGAAATCAAGCATAAATTTCTCAGATCAAAATAACCCGCATTAAACAAATATGTGTCTCGTCAACCTGGAATATTCACGATACAGAGATTAAATTTCAATATTCATCCGATTTTCATGTGCACATGTGACTATTTACCTTGGCCTGAACCATATTTATCGTGTATACGTGTAATGACATGCAGTGTCTTAATAAACACATATAAAATTTCACTTTCAATAAGTCCAAAAAGTTGCTTTATCATCCCTGAATACTTCTATGAACAAAGGATATAATTCTCTTCGTGCTCGACGTAATCTTTCTAGGAAGCATTCGGAAACATGAATATGTGGTTCAGCTACCCGTGGAACGTCTTGATGTTCTTTCTTATTTCTAGTTGTCCTTTTCTTTCTTCCTCCTGTAAATTCTTTCGAGCTTTGTTAACTATTTCTCTGTACTTTTTAAAATATTTTTCCTTATCTTCAAAGCTAGTACGTGTAATAGTTACAGGCCCTGGACTCCGCTTCGAATGTAAAAGGCACGCTCGTTCAATTTCAGTTTTTGATTCATCTATATTCAAAGTCTGCCTTATACCTTGTCTCATCATGATTTTAGTTTCGCTCCATTTTTTTTAGCATGTCGTGAAGATTAGGTTGTTTTAACGGGATTGGGCTTCTTGAATCTCATATTTCTTCTTGTTTAGTTTTTCGTTTACGCTGTTATTGTGCTTTTTTAATTCATTTAATTTTTTACATTCTTCATTTGTATCCTCGAAATGTTTGCTTAAAATGGCGCTAATGGAAACAAAATACTGGCTTCGATATGGCCATATAACACAACTAATTTTACTATATAGTCTCTACATTTGTTTCTCAGTACTGAACTATCCACTGTGTGATAATCAATACAAATCATATATTAATCTAAAATACATTCAAAGATGACTTTACGGTGAAGTTCTTGTCAAGGGTTGACCGGCATTTTTTGAGAGGCTGAATTGTAAACAAAACACCATGCAACGGAACAAAGATTTCACTTCCGAATCATCGCCATGGCCTTATTACTTACTGCATGTGCACTGTCGCAGAAATGCACACAGACAACCACACCATAAGCTCACATTCTAAAGAATAAACAATTGCCTTTAAATCCTTACCAAGAATGCCAAAATCTAACTCTTGTATCACCAAACGGAGAGAGGAAAAGTGATCGAAAATAGACTGGGATTACATTCATGGGTACTGAACCGGAATTATTAATTGTGACCTGACTCCATTTGCTCAAATTCACGGTGAGGCTTCTCCTTTCCGACAACTCATTACCAAAAATAAAGGCTTTCATTCGCCTATCAAGCTACAAAAGCTTCTCTTGAGCTGAAGCTTTCCAATTCAGTCTCGCGACAATTCATATCTAAACGCTCAATGACTGGCAGAGTAAACAACATAACTGAGAACGAGTCTAGATAAGAGGAATTATTTAATGTGGGGAAAATGTATGATTCTATCATGCAGGATGTAAACCAGCATACTAGTTGAATCAATATACTTGTCAACGGTGTAATTAAGCCTTTTCATTAATAACGTTGCTTTGTGGTACCAAACAAATGTAAAATGTTGCATGTCTTTAGGATATTCGCTTCAGTGAATTGATTTGAATCAACATTTTTCACATGCTCCGATCGTGTGTCTTGTTCATAACAGTGTTTTCTAATGTTGTTTGAAGTTAATGCTGGGCCGTTTTAAATTAATCTTATAATGATTCAATAACCGGACCATAGAAAAAGGAAGTAGAAAATATTTACATTTTTAGACCGAATAGTGACTGTATGTTTGTGATAATTTTTACCCTTTTAAATATTTTACATTTTTTTATTTTAACCTTCAATTGGCATTAAATAGTTAGGATTGTGTTGAGGCGACGTTAAACCCTTTACATAAATATAATTTAAGACTTTTCAGAAAAAAAGAAGTGCACCACTAATATTTCATTTTTATCATTAATATCTTACTCTGCTTTCTACTATTATTTTGTACGCCTGTGTTAGTTTTCATCTTCGATGTTTCTTATTTCTTCTTAATGTTTGCCACGCCATACAATTATGTTTCTAAGCACCATGATTGTAATAACTATATTGTTCTGGCGACGGCGAATAATCGTCTGTTGTCGTTTTCTTCTTTTTTATTTTAACTTACGATTTTGTTGTTCTACCATTGCTGTGCCTTTTTGTTGGCTGGGAGACAGTAGGACCATTAAACAACAACAATATTGCTGAAACATTATGAGACCTCTAGATAATAGCAAGATCGGGATATTGTTATGACACTGAGAGATGTATAGATACTACAAATATGACCTATGTCAAGAAAGTTATTTAAAAAAAACCTATCGTACATGGCTGGAAACAAAATTTGAAATTATTCACATAAAATCTTTTCCTGCTTTTTTATATCCACATTCTTCACTTTCTATAAGAAAGGGTTCAAATGTAAAACTGGGCAGCCAGACGCTTCTAGCTGTGAGACCTCAACTTCGCCCAACCACTGGCTCGATTCAAAGACGCCTATCTTAATTATAACGAAGCTCTAAGCTTAAATATTGTAAAATAAAGCGGTAACCCGATATTAAAAATAGGATTTGATAACGTCTTACATTCCATAAATACGAAGATCAAAGTTTGCTTCCATATGTATTGTCAGTTTGAATCAAATGTACTCGTTCCATATTTTTTCTCCATTCCTGTCTCTTTATGTTGTTTTCTTTCATTTGGTACTTTTGCGTACCTTTCTACTAGATATGGCTGAATTATTTCTCTTTGTTAAGGAAGAATCACAAAATGACGCTTATATAATACGATTTTACAAGTAAAATCTAATAGTCGTTTTCTTTTCAATAAAGATGCTTTTACTGTGATGGAGATTTAGCGATGTCTGAAGTCCTGCTTACAAAGAACAGCAACACCACCACCACCACCACCACTACGACTACTACTACTACTACCACAACAAATACTACTACTACTACTACTACTAATAATAATAATAATAATAATAACAACAACAACAACAATAATGGTACTTTGGAATGGACAAACATAGCATTTAGTTGAATGATATGTGTTTACTTCTTTGCTCGTACATAATAGAAAAGCCTAGTGTAGCCACTTTACTCAGAAAAATGATTTGATTGCAAGCACAATATACCTTTTGTGAGTGCTGTCATGTGTGATAAACGTGAATACACACATCGAACTTATTGATGATACAATGCATGAGAAACTGTTTCTTCCGTGGAGAAAAGAAATCAGGCATGTCTTTAAGTTTCTAAATATATATCTTTTATATTAAGTAGCACGAGTCCATCATTCGAGTTTACTAGGTACAACACAAAGAAAGCTTCCGATAGAAAACGTGCCATCGAATTTCCAGATGCTTGCAAACATAAACATGATCTTTAAATAAGCTTTAAAGGTTGGTCCCTTTTACAGTAAAATCAGTAATCATTCGGATTATTAAGGGGTAAAGATTATTTGATCCATGACACCACAGGGAAAACAAGATTTACGAGATTCAATTCGTTTTAAGGATCAAAATCTAAAGCTTATAATTCAGTCATATTATTACAACTGACGACACACCGCTCGTATTGTTAAGCTATTGGAGTAATTTGACCTTACAGTTGTCTAGGGAAAAAGTCGCCAATGAATACTTGCATCTCTAATGTACCGAAAACCTGAATCATAATGGACTATAAACGAGATAAAGAAAACATTCTTTCAATCAGTTATATTTTAGATTCCACGTCAGCTTTATTTAAATAGTCTTCTATAACAATTACTAACTTATATACTCATATT